CTCATGGGAACATAGAATGGGCCTTGTTTTGCTCTCATGAAAATATTCTCAGGTATTTTCACAGGTGCCTTGGGATTTAAGACACCCAAGAGTGCATCCAGCCTCCACCAGGAGAAAGAATCCCTTCTGCAGCTTTCCTGACTGGGATTGGTCCTCTCAAACAGGGTGTTGTTCACTACCTCTCCCAGTTGGCTCAGGAGCCAGGGAGGTCATTCTAGAGCACCTTTAAGGAGTTTCCAAGCCCACATGGGAAGGAGGAAAAATGCCCAAGAAAAGGGAGAGATGGCAGGAATGCTGAGGGGAAGGAGACCGAGGCCTCCAGAGTCTAGAGGTGGGAGGCACAGGAGCCGTGGTGAGAAGCCAGTGATCAAGTTCAGCTGAACCAAAGTATCAAACTCAGGAAGTCAGACAAGACCTGAGCTTTCCAGTTGGCCCTCACCTTCTCTGGACTTCCAGCCCTGTCCAGCTGCCTTCACCCCTTCTCCACTGGCTCTCAGGAAAAGCACTGAGAGACCCCTTCTCACCCAGGCCTCCGAGGATATGCAAGGGAGGTAGCCATGGATCTGAGAAGGAAACGGAGACTGGAAGAAACTGAAGGAACTTCAGGCATTTCAACCAGGTTGAGGAGGAGGGCTCAGGGGAGGGTCAGAAGGCCCTTCCTAGCCCTGACCTTCTAGGTCCTTCTCTGTCAAGGGGCCCTGGGCCCTGGCCACTGAAACCTGGAGGAGGCCTGTGGGCGGCGAGGCCAGGAGAAGCCTCGTGCACACTCTCACACACTCTCCACATTCCAGTTGTGCTCTGTCAGCGTTTGGGCAAAACCAGGATTGTGTGGCTTTGGGGAGGGCGGGGACAAATAACCCCCAGACATGGGGGAGGGTGGTACTGGGGCTGGTTGGAAGTAACTTGGGAGAACCTGGTCACTGGGTTCAAGGTCTAGGGTTTTCCCTTGAGGTGACCGGTTCAGCACTCCTGGGGGTGGGAAAACAGAGCCCCGTTTTCAGACATGCCCATCCTTACCCCCAACTGGGCCCCAAACCCTCACCACCAACTAGGCCTCAGGACCACCAGCAAAGGACGGGAGTGTGGTGCCTCCAAGCGCCCTGTTATGCAGCGTAAGGGCCCGCCATTATGTCCACGCCCAATTTCTTTTGCCCCTCCCCTTGATTTCATACACTCCAGTGCCTGAGTTTACTCCACCTCCTGATTTCTCTTACAGCTTTCATCTCCTTCCTATCAGTCCCTCTGCCACTCGGAATGCTTTGAGCCTCATAGTACTATTTCTCATAAGGTCTGTCTTTCCGTGATCTGGTAAGGTTTTCCTCCTCCACCTGATGTCATTAAGACCTTGCCTGATTTCATCCTACCTCAAACTGATTTTCTGGCCTCTCCTGGCCCCCTTCTGTACCATCTGACCCAGGGCCCCTGGGATGGTGTCCAGGAGAAAGGATACAGGATGTGACAAGCTGCCAAGAGCCACAGGCAGCCATGCAGGGACATTAGTATAGAGGAGGGACAATTTGTTCCTCAGGCCCAGCTCTTAATTCTCTGCCCTGTGGAGAGAAGCCCCAAATTCCAAACCTCTGCACTAAGTTAGCGAGTGCTGGGTTCAAGGGTCCATGAGAACATCTCTTCCTATCAAAGTCTGTAGACCTTCCGAGTTTAGGGGGACAGCCCAGCGTGGGGCAGGTACTGCTGGTCCCTGTCTGGGGTACTGAGGCTGATGTCTGCCCATGTCTTTCCAACCCCCTGGTCACCTCACTCACCACTTTGGCCAGGACTAGAGAGGTGGCTATTCCTGCTACCTCAGAAAGACCTCGGAGGTCAGGTCGCTGGCCAGATGGGGAAGTGAGGCATGGAGGGAGTCTAGAACAGACCCCAGGCTTACTAGGCACGTGATCTGAACTTGAGGTTTGGAGGGGACCCTGCTGCCCGAAGGACAAGCCCCTTGCCTTTTCCCACCCCTTTCCACTGGCCACAGGGCCACAGGCTAGACCACCCTGCTTGACAAGTGTTTATGCAACTGTGGGGAGGCCACAGCCTGGCTGGCAGTACTGCCCGCCCAGCACTAGTGCTGATTCAGCAGAGCCCCCCAGCACATACACACTCAAGCATGTACACAAACAGACAAACATACTCACACATGTTTGCACATTGGTAAACATGCATGTACAGTTGCACACAGGTATACACACAGATACCAACAGCCAAGTACAAACAGTACACAAACAGTATGCTTACAAGCATAGGCACACACTCTCACAAAGATAGGAACACAGCACACACGAACTACACACACACACCACCCTGCCAGGGCAGATGGGAAGATACCAAGGGTCATCCACTCAGACACCTGCACCCACAACCAGCAACCCAAACCCAGGCAGACTTGGCCTGTAACAGGTAAGTGGCCCCAGAGTGGTAACATGGCCATGGCTGGGACAGAGCCACATTCAAAGAGAAGTTGACTTTCATCAAGTGGGGTCAAGCCACCCATTAGGGCTCACCTAGACCTGATAGCCCACCCTGTCCCTACCAGACACACTAGGAGCCTGGTGAGGTAGGGGTTGCAGAGTATAGTGGAAGGGGTGCAGTATGGGATTCTCCCTCCCACTGTCAACCTATAACCCAAGTGGGGTGGTAGACCCTAGAAGCCAGGGGGTCTGCAAGAAAAGAGATATGTTTGGGAGCAGCCTGGAGGCACTGCAGGGTCACCCTGGAAACAGAGGAGGGGCAGGCATTCCTGGGAGATCGAGACACATATGCCCTGGAGCCTGGAGCACATGTGAACTTGGAGGTAGGGACTTCTCATCTGGAGATGACTGAAGGCAAGTGCAATCCTAAATGAAGAACTCCAACCTAGAGTAAGTATTTCCAAAAAGAAAATGCTGTGACCCAATCCCATGGGAACCCCACCAAGTTCCTGGGTGGGTGTCCAAGGAAAAGGTGGGCCAGGTAGGTGGGAGCTGGGACAGCCATATCACATAGCTCCTCACCCAGCAGGGTTCTGGGGCATGGACCCTAACTAATCAGGGATAAAGAGGACCTGCTGCTCCCCAGCGGACACCCCACCAATTGGCCAATGAGAATGGTCAGAACGTAGCAAGGTAACACCTGCCATGCACATGAAAACATCCCCATTGACCAAGGACCCCATGGCAAGACAGCGGACACCTCTGTTCTCTGACCCACCAGCCAGGCAGACACTGTACCCCAGACAGATGCTGAGATGGTTTGTGGGAGACCATAAAAGAGCAAACCCCTCTCATCACCTGAACCAGATCTGGGCTGGAGTAGACTAAATTTAAAGAAAGAAACCAGGAAGTCCTAAGAGCTGCCAGAGAGGTTGCCGAGGGCATTTTCAAAAATGATCTAGAATTCTACCACTTGTAACCAGCTCCACTGTCAGCAGCCTGAAACAAGCATCCAGATCCTGGACCCTCACAGAAGCCGCCTATCTAGTCTCCTTGTTTCTGCTCTGCCTGTGGTGTTAGCAGAACATCTCCCCCATCACTGTCCTGACTACATGTTCTCCTGTCACCACCTCATCACTCCCAAGAGCAGCCTCTGAGTGCCCTACAGTAATGCTGTAGCTTGCCAGTGGGTCCTACCCCAACCTGAAACAGAGGAGTTGGTGGGTAAATACCCCGATTTCTCTGTCCCTCAGGGGGGACCCCTCTACCATCTCCCAGAAGCCCCTGCAAGACTTAGCCTCATTGCCTGCCGTGTATCTGTTCCTTAATGCACCCCACAGGGGCATCCTTTCCTTTCTTGCCTCCCTACCCCTCTTCTCTCCCATGCTCCCTGAAATACCTCCAAGAGAGACTGCTTGCATTCAGGTCAGCTTCTGGAAAATTCCAGCCAACGACATCCCTCTCACCTCTCCTTCAAGCCTTATGGGATAATCACCGACCTCGTTATATAACTGGTCAATTGCCTCCCAACTCACATACACTTATGCGAGCTCATGTACACAGGCCCACACTCCATAACCCCTCCCTGCTTCTAGTCCCTCCCTACCTATGATCACTGTTTGATGTACTTTCCATAAGGGAAACCGGGATTTGGTTTCCAGCCATCTGTCAGTGAAGGCTTGTGTGTTGCTATGATGAAGAACAGGTATCAGCAAAGCTGCCAGACTTAAAGAGACTAGGAAGAAACGTCTGGTGGTCTACTTCCAGTGATCAGCCAGTGAAAACCTTATGGATCACAATTGTCAGGGACTGTCCCAACAGCTACCAACAACAATAACTGGATCCTGTTTCAGGTCTCTTGTGTGTGTGAGCTCTATGAAGGAAGGGTGCTTTTCCACTACATTGTCCCCATCTCCTAAAACAGAGCTCAATAAATGATAAGGGAACAAAAGGAACATGTGACAGACTCTGCACACAATACCACGTCTACACTCTCGCACTCTCATACACACACACACACACACCAACACCCTCAGGCAGGATGAGCTGTACAAGCCTTGTAACTCATTCTCCCACATTGACATACCCACCACAAGAGTGGACACACGTGCATCCTCATAAAATCATGAAAATGCACCCTAATGGGGCCATGGCACAGCTGTCTGTCTCCGGGAGGTAAGAGGTTGAAAAAGAGTGAAGGATGGAGGCAGGAAGGAAGACAGGAAGAAAGAAGCAGGGAGCCATTTATTCATAAGGCCCACGGAGTTGGGACAAGTTTCAGTTGCGTAGCCTTAGTGGATAGGGTGAGAAATGTCCACACAGAGAAGTCTGAGGGTCTGTGGAGGATTCTTAGTGTGCTCCCCTCCTTTTCCTGGATCCGTGTCATGAATGGGAGATGACTTGTCCCAGCATGGCCTCCCCTGGACTCCCTGAGAGCAAAGGCAGCCACATGTTACTCAGGAAGGGCCAGCCAACTGACGGTTGGAGTCGGTGAAGAGGAGGGGTTTGGAGAACATAGGGGAACAGCAGGGCTGGAATTAGCAGAGATGGTGAAGAGGTCAGCAGAGGGTTTAGAAGCAAGGGCTCTCACCTGGGTGAGATGCTCAGCTGGCCATGATGTGCTTCACGAAGGCTGGAAAGAAGGAAAGAGTGAGCGCCAGGGCATCGCCCTGGAAGAGCCCAGGGTTGGGGCTTAGGTGTCCGATGCATCCCCTGCCCAGAAGACCCTGCCCCTGCTGAGCCCACCTTCATAGTTGATGCAGCCGTTGGAATCTTCTTGTCCAGCCATCAACTTCTCTACTTCATCCTCTGTCAGCCTCTCACCTGGCAGGGATGGCAAACTGAGTCAGTCCCTTGTGGAGATGGGATGGGGTGGGGGACCCACTGAGACCCTCTGGATGGTGGTGGAAGCCTTCGTGGCTCACCTCATGTGACACAGCCTTCATTGCCCACAAGGCTTGGCCATCAACCCCAGGTCCAACGCAAGGCAAATTGGTGACAACTCAAGAGGGGCCCAACCCCAATTAAAAAATGGGCAGAGGGCATGAACATACACTTTACCAAAGAAGACATTCAGGCAGCCAACAAACATATGAAGAAATGTTCACGATCATTAGCCATTAGAGATGCAAATAAAAATAATTATTAATGCTCTACAGGCAGTATTAATAGCAATTAAAAAAAAAAGAATGAAAACAACAAATGCAGATGAGGATATGGAGAAACTAGGACCCCCCCCACACACACACACACAGCTGGTGGAACCATACGATGGTACAACCACTGTGGAAAATAGCATGGCGCTTTTGCAAAAAGTTGGAAATAGAAATACAGTATGACCCAGCAATCCCTCTCCTTAGTATGTATCCTCAAAAAATAAAAGCCGTGACACGAATAGATATCTGCACACCCATGCTGACTGCAGCACTATTCACAATAGCAAAAGGATGGAGCGGCCCAAATGTTCATCAACAGAAGAATGGCTAAACAAACTTTTATATGTATGCACAATGCAATACTACAAAACGCTGCCGACTAACAATCTGCGAAACACCGCACAACATGGATGAACCTGGAAGACATTATGCTGAGTGAAATTAGTCAATCACAAAAGATAAATATTGTATGAGGCCACTGTTATAAAAAGTCAAGAAAAGGTTTTCATGCTAAAAGAAATATTCTACAATAGTTACAAGGAGTGGGAGAGAAGGGAAAATTATTAACTGGCTAGCAGGTAGAAACGTGTTAACTTGGAAAGGCAGTTTAAAACAAAAGAAGCAAGTCTTGAAACAACAGGGGCCCAGCCTGGTTTATCACTCTGGTGGTGCCTCCAAGCCTGAACTCAGTTGGCAACAGCCACCAACGCCTACTGTCCTCTGTCCCTGTGAGGAAGGCCAGGGTTCCTTCCTTATATTGAAGTCAGGCTCTCACCTTTCTGGAGGCAGTGTCTCAGAGTAGTCAGAGGAAGACCCACGGGATAGAGTTGGGAACCTTGGGGAATGGTTGTGGAGAGAACCAGAGGAACCTCCTGCTGCTTCTCAAACAAGTCAGGGGTTTCCCTGCCTCTGTGTTTGGTGTGCTATGCTGCCACCCCACAGTGGAATACCAACTGTAGCACACACATCACACACACACAGAGATGCTCAGTAAGTGTGTGCTGTAGGAGAAAGTTGTTTGGGTGGGAAGTACACATGATCACGGGTCAGGCTACTCCCAAGCCTCCCCATCGACCCAAGAGGCAGATATGCAACCCACGCCTTGGAATCAGATCCTAGAACAAGTTAGTCCTCTGGATGTGGTTCCTTCCTGCCTGCCCTGGCCCCAGAGCTGTTTCTATCCCCCCACCACTCTATGAGCTGCACCAGTGCATCTATCTAAATCACCTTTCTGTTGACTGCCATCCAACTACTATAAGGGTTACTCTCTCCTTTCACAGTGAGACCTTGGCCTAGCGAATGACAGAGTGCTTCTCCCAGGATCCCAGCTGCCCTTCAGAAGCAGGAGTGGGGGTGGAGTGGAGGAGGCTGCCCTCACCCAGCGTGGCGAGCACGTGGCGGAGTTCAGCACCCATGACAGTGCCGTTGCCCTCCTTGTCAAAGACCCGAAGCCCCTCCACGAAGTCCTCGTAGGTGCCAGTGTCCTTGTTCTTGGCAATGTGCTGCAGCATGGGCAGGAAGGTATCGAAGTCAATCATCTTGGACTGAAGGTCTGCAGAGAGAGCGTCCTGAGTCTCAGACCCTGAACAGTGTGACAGGAAACCCCTAGCCCCCATGCTTCATAATGAGAAGCTAGACCCTCACACAGTCTGTCATTTACAAAGCACTGCACAGTCCCAAACACTGTACCATCTGGCCAAAAACGCAGTTTACAGAGCCCTGTGCTCTGAGAGAAACTTGGTGGTGCGGTGGTTAAAGCTCTTGGTTGCTAACCAACAGGCTGGTGGTTTAAAGTCACCAGCAGTTCCATGGGAGAAAGATATGGGAGTCTACTTCCATAAAGAAAACAGTCCTGGGGAGCACCCTACAGGGCAGTTCCAGTCTGTCATATAGTGTCGCTATGAGTTACAATTGACTGTATGCCAGTAGGTTGGGTTGGGTTTGGCTGCTCTGAGAATGTGCCCTCATCTAGATAATGGGAGGATGTCAGGAAGAACACAGAAGATGGGCTTGTGCCACCACAGATGGCAGTCTCCCTGGGATTAGCGCTATAGAAGACCCCAGGCAGAGCATACCCACCTTCCTGCTTTGGTTTCCCCAGGACACGGAGCACCTCAGCCTGTGTGGGGTTCTGTCCCAGAGCCCGCAGGACGTCCCCACACTGCCCGTACGTGATCTTCATCTCACCCTTTGGAGTGCGGTCGAATAGCATGAAAGCTTCCTTGAACTCTGCCAGGAGATGACAGTGAATTGTGGCTATCCCAGAGTGAGCCCAGCATCCCACGCCCACACCTCAGACTGAAGGCCCCTGGGCTCAAGACCCCTGCTCACCTTCAATCTGCTCTGCGGTGAATTCGATCTGAAAGGAGACCCCAAAGACTGTGAGATCCTGTCTTGAAGGGTGGGATCTGGCTGCCACATAGTCTCTCCGTGGCCAGACCCCAGCCCCTCAACTGTCCCAGCCTGTCCCCACTCCAGCCTCCCAGCCTCCACACGCCAAGGTTTCCTCCCATCCACTTTAACGCCTTCCTGCCTCCTTACCTTGCCCCAACCCTCCAACATGATTTAGGGCCTTGGATCTACATGTGTTTGGTGGGTCACATTTGCAGCTGAGTACCTGAACGGTGAGTGAGGAAGGAGGCCAGGAGTCTTAAGTCCCCAGCCCAGGGCAAGAGTCACCTGAGACCCCTGTTTCTGGAAAGATGTAACTAAAGCCACAAGAACTAACTCAGGCAGCCTTGCAACCCACACAAGGCCTGGATATCAAGATCACGTACAGGCCTTCGGGATGGGGGAGGAGCAAAGATGAAGGCTCTGTCAGCAAACCAGCATGTATGCAGGAAATTGTGCACATCATGTATGTTCCCTGTGCATATGTGTGTGTGTGCATATGTGTGTATAGGGCATGTGTGTGTGCATACATGTGTGCATGTGTAGATTTGTGTGGGGGTGTCGGCCTGTGTGTGTGTGTTCATGTGTCTGTGCATGTGTATATATGTGCCTGTTCATGTGTGTGTGCACATGTTCATGTGCCTATGTGTGTGTACTTGTGTGTACATTGTGTATGTGTGTGCATGCATCTGTCTGTGCATGTGTGTATGTGCATGTGCCTGTTTGTGTGGGTGCACGTGTGCATTCATGTGGCTATGTGTGTATGTGTACTTGCATGTGCATTGTATGTATGTGTGTGCATATGTCTGTGCCTGTGTGTCTGCATGTTCATGTGCGTGTGTATGTGTACTTGCATGTGCATTGTGTGTCTCTGTGTGTGTGTGTGCATGTGCTACATGCCTCTGTCCTTCACAGAGCCTCCGGGCCCCTCTGGGTTGGTCACCATCATTCACCCAACAAGCCCTGCCTGTGTCTGAATCTCACCACCCCACTTCCCAGTGCCTGGAGCCTACCACAACCCCAACCTCAGGACAGCGTGGGGCTAGGGCTGTGCCACTGAGTACTGGCTGAGGTCACCTGGGGGCCACCCCAGGCCCAAGAGGCCTCCTGGGATTGGGTGTCCCCCTCCTCACCAGATACCAGGTCTATTTTTATCACTACAATCATTCGGGCCCAAGGTCAAGGTCGCAGGAGGGAAGGAGCCCTGGGGGGAGGGGGGCATGACTGGAGCCACACCCACCACTGCTCTGTCAGAACACCACCAACAAGTATGGTGCACAACAGTGAGAAAGGACACCATATCTCTGCCACCCAACGAGGCTGTCCCTCCTGGAGCTCGCTCCACCAGGAAGCCTGCTGAGATTCTGTTCCCAGTGGGTCTTCTGCTAGTCCCTGAGGGCTGCGGGCACAGGAGAGTCTTCTTAGTAGGCACTCTGCTCCAGCCTCTAACAGGGCAAGTCTGTGAAATGGCATCAAGGGCTCCTGGTATGATGAGACCCTCTCCAGGGGCCTGGGTCTAGGGACTGTGGGGAGATGGAGCTGACTCTGGGGCGCACCTTCCAAGAATGGCCCCCTAAGAGTGAGGCTTATTATCCCATTTCGCAATTGAGGCAACCAAAACTTGAAGTGCAAACAATATGAGTAGGTGCCTCTGGGAAGGGTTCATGAACAGAATGGGGTCTGTGTAGATGGGGTACAAGTCTTTCTGGTGGGTGGGGGCAGAGGGGGATCTCACTGGGCCCCTCAGGGGTTGCCAGGCAGCCTCAGCCAATAGGTGGCCAAGAACAAGGGCAGGACACAGTGCGTGCTGCTATGTAGATGCCACAGGTGGCTGTCATGGCTTGTCCTCCAAGTTTAGATTCTGGGAAAGCCTTTCCAATCAGGGAAGGGCTCCCGAGGCTACTAGCACAGCTCTGAAACCTGAGTGACCTTTGCTAATCCCTCCCAGCCTGTGCCTCAATGTCCCCACTGCAAGCTGAGGTCCAGGAGGGCTCTGCCAGCTCTGAGGCTCAGTGACCTTGACAGGGTGAGTGTGACCCAGCCTGAGCAGGGGCCCTGCATCCCCATGCTCCCCACTCCACCCTGAAGGACTGGCAGACAAGGAGACAAGGAGGGTTCCTAAGTGACCGCAGAGTGGTCCAGGCAGGAGGCTCCGGGACCCCCCAGGATGTGAGAGGTCCAGGGAGGAAGACAAGGGAGAGTTCATTTTCAGAACTCCTCCCAAAGATACTCTAGCCCAGACTCCATCCCTATAGTACATTGGGCTCTTGGAGCACTGTGGGGAGTTCCACCAGATGTCTAACCACCATCCCACCTGAGCCTCTAGGGCTGATCTGATCTGTGCATGGAAGCGGCTTGCTTTCTGCAGCCTAACCTGCTGCGCAGTAGCTCCACTCACCCATCCTTGCCATTCCTGCCACAGCCGGGCTCCCACACCCACCTTGATTTTAGAGGCATCAAATACCGTCTCCTTGGGGGGCTCCGGCTCAGGCACAGGGGCTGGAGCGGGAGCTGGAGCTGGAGCTGCTTTGGCGGCTGCCTTGGCCTCATCTTTCTTGGGTTCTGGCTTTTTGGGGGCCATGAGGGTGGTAAGCACAGAGCCTCGTCGTGGAGAGGAGACGCAGATGGTAGGTGAACCTTCAGCACCCAGCCCTTTATCCTGCCTGGTCATCTCATGACCCCAGCCCCACCCCCACAGTGCACAATAGGGACAAGGCCATAAAAGGACATTGGCTAGGCTCAGGGGCTATTTTGAGGCCTGGGGAGGGCATTGTTCAGGCCCAGGAATGAGGTGGGGGAGGGAGGGCTCTCTATTCCTCCCAATCACCTGTTTGGAGGAGGAAGGCAGAGTGGAAGGCAGAGGCCAGGACTCAACACACACGTGTATATACACATAGGCACACACACTCAGGGCCCTGGTGTCCCATGGCAATCAATAAATTGAACAGGTAAAGAGGGCTGGGCCACGTGTGGGCTGGGGTTGTGTTGGAGACAAAAGAACTGGGATAGCCAAAGGGCACCTCTGTGACGCTGTAGGATAAGCACTGGACTGCTAACTGCAGGGTTGGTGGTTCAAACCCACCAGATGTTCCTCCTATGCAGGGTCATTATGAGTCAGATCCGACTCCAAGGAGTTTAACAACCTATCAAGTTAAACTTTCTATCTGTGGGTAGAATCCCTGTGTCTGTGTGTCTGAGTGTCCATGTATTTTGAGGGTCTGTGTGTTTGTGTGTGTGTCTGTGTGTATCTCTGTATAAATGTTGTCTGCATCCGGCTGTTATTACGTGCATGGGATGCTGTCCGGGTGTGCGTGGATGTTTGTATGTTCAGGGGTCTGTGTATATCTATGTGTTATCTGTGTCCATCTGAGTGTGTAGAGGGGGTGGATCTCTAGCTGTACTGCTATGTTTGTGCTTCTATGTAGGGGATGGTCTGTGTGTCTGTCTGTAGCTTCTGGGTCTACATCTGGGTCTGTGTGTGTGTCTGTGTGTGTGTGTGTGTATGCTGTTACTGTGTTGGTGTCTAAGTGTTGCTGTGTGTTTGTGTGTGAGGATCTACTCACAGCTCACAGGTAGCTGCAATCCCCACTTGGGGGCACAGGGGATGGTTCTAGGAGGTTGTAGAGTGGATGCTGTTTACCTTACAGTCCCTTCCACCAGCCAAACAGCCCCACAACCTCCCTCATCACAGCTCACCTGGCCCTGAGGCTACTTGTTGCACCCTTAGATCCTCTAGTTCCCCTCTTTTCTAACCCCCGAGAACCTGGCTCCCACCAGAGTTCTATACACTTTGTACCCTCTGTCTCAGTTCTGTCCCACTGTCCTCTCTTCCAGGAAGCTCTCCATGATGCTGTGTCCACCACCCTATGTTTGTTTTTTAGCGATGACTCTGAGGAGTTCCAGGGGGCTATGTAGAGTTCACCCTCTGGTGTAAAAGCCCTCAAAGTTCCTGGTAGCACCCTTTGGAGTCCAGCCCTCAGTAGATGGCAGCAACAAATTGCAGCCTGTCTGGGTCACCCTTTGGGGAGGTGGAGTGTGGGAATGCCAAGGTGGCGTGAGGTCCTCCCAGGCTTAGAGAGTGGGACATCTTGCAAACACATTGAGTTCAGTTTCCTGCCCAGGGCCTGTGCCTGGGGGGTGGAAAGGAGGTGCTCCTCCTTATTTTTAAGTGCCTGGAGCCTTTGATAGAAACTTCAGAGGCTGCCCCTCCTGGCCCGGGGGGAATCCCTGGGTGTGGGGAGGGCTGAAGCTGTGTCTGAAGGGAGAGTTCATTGGGGGCTGGGCTTAGGGCTCCCCACCTGAATCCCTCTCATCCTGTCACCCAGCCTAACTGTAAGGGGGATAGCAGTGCAGGAACTGGACCTAGACCCCACCCACTGAAACACGGGACATTCCTCCCTGCATCTGGAGGGCAGAACACCCCACATCTGGAAATCTGACTACATCCGGGACTGGGGGAGGGTGCAAGTTTTTCACTTTTCTTCCAGATGTTTGGCAACAGAATTGAGAAAGAAGAAGAGGGAGAGGTCCACAGAGACAAGACAAAAATGCCACAAAAGGAGGAGATGGCCTGAGGGGACACACAGAGAGGCCTCTGGGTAGCCCTGCCACCCAGGCCTGCTGGCCCTCAGGACACCTGTCTCTGGACATCTCATGCAGCCCCAACCACCCTCAGGCAAAGTCAAGACCCTACCCAACTCCCTTTCACTCATCATCAGGGAAACTGAGGTCCAGGACAAGCAGAACACCCAGGGTCATCCAGAAATGCCCCCCCCTCCCCATGACATTAATTTTGTCCACACACAACTGCCATCCCTTGGACACCACGCAACATCATCAAGAGCACAAGTGAGTGGGTAGCGTGGGCCTCCTGGGCCTCGGTATCTGTGTCTGTGAAACCCACCCAGTACCAGAGCCACTGCGGGGTATGTGTCGGGGGGTGTCTCATTACTCTTCCCTTGTGCACAGGAAGGTGTGGTCCCACAGTGGGGACAGGGTGCACAGAACTCTATACACTCCCTCAGCAGGACTGAGATTGGGACTGAGCCACAGTTCCCAGGGCTAACCCTGCAGGACCACCCCCAAATCTAGAAGTAATGCACAACCCTCAAGAGGGATTCTGCAGGGAGTCACCCAGAATCCTTTTCTCCAAGGGCCAGCCCATTGACGGAGAACAGGATTGGTTGTCCAAGGCTAGGAGTAGGGCTAGGAGAAGGCAGGGAGGAGAGCAGGGCAACAAAGACAGACCACACCAAAAATTGGCACTTGCCTCTCTCTCCCAGTTCCTTCAGGAACAACAGCCCACCCAGTAGAGAAGACTCTGATGGGGCCAGGGAACCAGGAGGATCTGGGTCCTATCCCCTTAAGCCCTCCTGTCTTGATGTCTGAATTATGACCCAGCCTGACTCGAACTCACACATGCCACGTTCTAAAACCTTCTCCTAGGGGGCAGTTGGGGCTACATGGCCTCCATTTCAGTCCTCAGGCATGCTAAACATAACTTCACATGGGCTGTTTCTTTCCCTGGCATCCTCATCTGGGACCCTGACCATGTGTAGTGAGATGTCACCTCTCCAAGACGACTCCTCAGAATACCCTGAACCTGCTTCCTCTGCCCTGTCTCCCACCAGACACTCCCTCATCCCTGCAGACCCCAAAACATCTTGTTTCTTAGTAATCTTGTCTCTATGTCCTTCCTGCCTGCTCCCTACCTTCATCACCTGCCCTTGAGTGTCAACTAGCCAGTGGGGGAAATTCTACATACAGAGACTGGTACACAGTAGGTATTCAATAAATGTTGACTATGTATATGTGTCAGAAGGCTTGGTTTGCTCACCTTTCACAGTGGGCTGGAACACCTTGCCAAGCCCTATACCTGGAGTGCAGTGAGGGGAGCTGGGAGGAGGGATTTCCCCACAGACTCTCAGATGCTCAAGTGGCCACAGAGCACCCAGGAGAGTGATGCAACCAGCAGCTTATGCCCAGGCCCACTTGCTATGCTTCCTGGACCCACCTGAACCCAGGTTTGCTGTTCATGCCCCTCTTGCACCTCCAGGGCTGAGGCCTGACAACAGACTGAAGAGGTAAAAAGAACGCCGTGCTGTGGACAGTGACGCGGCTATAATAACCAGCCAGCAGGGGGCGTAGAAGAGATGTAAATCAGGCATTTAGACCCTGAACCCAGATCCCAGAAGCCAGAAACCCAATCAAACCCCAGATCCAGAACATAGAATCCCAAATCCAGATCCCAGACTTAGGTCCCAGAACTCAAGACCTCAAACTCAGACCCCAGACTCAGGTCTCAGAATCTGAACCCTAAACTTGGAAACTGGAACCCAGAACTGAGAACCCACGACCCAAACTGTTGGGGTCTAGATGCTGGTCTCAGCACCAAAACCCTGAACCCGGAATCCAGGACCTCAAACACCAGCCCCAAACACCAGCCAGTTCCAGACCTAGAACTGGGGCTGGTGGTTTTCCAGATCGGCACCATCTGCTGTCTTGTGTGGACATGGTTGGGTAGGAGGGGTAAACTCTTTGCAAACGGCAGGGATGCGTATTTGGCAGACCTCCCTGGTCCTGTTCACAGGGGAATGGGGAATGTCCCTCATCTTTAGGGAGCTCGAAGTGTGGGCAGGGGTGAGGCCTAGCTGCCCCTTGTGCCCAGGAGCCCAGGGCAGGCAGAAAGCAACTCCCCATGTGCCCTGTCCCTCTGGCCACGGGCTCCTTAGGCCAGTACAGCCCCGCCCCGGCCCGCCCCTCCTGGCCCAGAGTTTCTGGGCTGGGACGAAGGCCCACACTTCCCGGAGGAATCAAGAACTCGGCCTGGGCCAGACCCAGAGCCTCAGAAGTAGGTCAAATGTTGCTGCACGGCCGGTCCTGGGGACCCTGTCTGGGCAAGGGAAGGCCCATGGCTGCAGCTTACACATCAGGGGACACGCGTGTGCCCACACAGATGTGAACTCACCACCATGCGCTGGGCACCATGAGCGCGGAGTCCATACAGGACCCGCAGGTCCATGCCCAACTGCATACATGGGGATACGGAGTTCCCAAGAAGGGAAGGGGCCTTTCTTGGGTCTTGCTGCACAAGACAGGCATGAGGGCCAGGAGATGAAGGGGCTGCACCATCCCACACCCCTGGAACCTTGGGTGAAAGTCGGACTCCAAGGAAGACTTCCCAGCAGGGTTGCTCTGCCACCAACAGGATGTGGCCTGCTTCCCAGAGGCCCAGCCCCAGGCTTTGAAAGATGGGAAGGAGTGCCCAAGGGGGAGACAGGAGACTCCTTACACCCATGTGACCCATGCTCCTCTAAGTCTCAGTTTCCCCATCTGTACAATGGCCATAGGTAGGGTGAAGTCCTCCTGGGTTCAGAGGACAGATGCTGTCCCTGAGCCTCAGCCTGTCCACGCCACCCCCACACCACACACAGACAACTCTGTCCTCCAGCAAGCCAAATACAACCCTCAGGCCCCTCCCTCTGCCCACTGTGCTGACGGGGACCAGATGCTCCAACCTTGTGGTTCTGGGGGTGGGGGTGGCAGGGCCCAGCGGGCTGGCAGGCAAATCCTGGGTTTGGCCCAGGGACCTATA